CGTTCTACATGTTATATGACCTTTTTCGCATTGCTTATGCAGGCGTCTCAGACCAAGTTCCACAGAAGAGGTTAGTTAAAAATTTCTCAATCTTATCTTGGTTAACTTATTATTCCTTTAGCAACATTTAATACTCTCGACTCTCCAAAACAGGAAACTTTCTGGTTATACATGCATTTACTTCACGTTTCTCTCTCTCTCTCTCTCTTTTTTCCCACAAGATGAAGCCATTTGAATGATCTTTTTTTCTTAATACACACGATTAGGAGGAGTTAATCCAGGAATATGGTGAAAACTGGTGGCAGTCCCCTGCATTGTATGTTCCTGAACTAATTGGAAGGCAATATAAAAGGTACTTTTGTTGCAACATTGGAAACTAGTGTACATGTGTCGGGACCTCTTTGTTTCCCATGAATAAAGTTTGTGTTTCATCGTTGGATTTATTTCACGTTTCCTCGATTTTTTTTTTGTGTGTGTGTCTGCCCTACTAATGAATGAATTGAACTCTGCATTTCCATGTTATTCATGAACTCGTACTGAAGCTCGCGGTATGATCCTTATCAAAAGGAAGCCACAGCACACAAATATCTAAAAGAAGCTCGGAAACAGGAGAAAATGTTGGCTGCATTTCGTAACCAACGAATTTACGTGAGCAAGTTGTGGAGCATGCGCCAGTCTTTGCGTGCAAGGTACACGAATTCATATTAAGCTTCAAGAACAGGCGCAAATTCTGGCAAATTGCAACACTGCAATAATTTTTCTGAAAGAATCGTTCCATTCCAAAGAATTTGACCTTCCAAACGGAAGATATCGATATTTTATATTTTACGGTTGGTTGATTACAGGGAGCGCCGTATACCGCCTATTGAAGAAGTCGTGGAGAATGAATTTTCTACAGAACATCTTAAGCATTACGAGATTTTGGGCCTGGTTCGAGCACAACAACACGGCCTGGAACTATTTGCTGGGGTGGCCCAGTGCTTGTACGGGGAGGTATGCGAAATTGTGACGTGAAACTTAGAAATAAAAATTGAACACCAATGCGTGTGCCTTTGTTGCTCTATCAGGACTGACAATGCAATGTAAACTGCAGTAATTCCATGGAGGATGCAGAGAAGGAAACAGCTTCATCTTCTGTAAAATAATAGTGAATGTGGTGGCTAATGTTGATGATGAGGAATTGGAATATATATTTAGTTAAATCACTCATTTGATTTGATTTTTTTGTTGTCTTTATCTATTATTATTGGCAAAACTGCATTTGACCTCACGACCCTATCGTCTTTTGAACGAACTTTTGGCACGACTTTGGGATTTATCGTCTTTTGCACTTTTGTCATGGCTTTGAAATCTTGGCACTTCGATACCTTAATTTTTGGTTTTTTGCAAAACGAAGCATTGACCCGTTCTCCTTCCAACCAATGCCAACTTGTCCGACAATTTAATTGATGTGTCACACATTGCTCAACAAAAGAAAAATAAGCTAGTTTATAGAATATTTTGTTAGCTTATAAACTCTTTATATTCAAATCAGTCTCATTTGGTAGGACGAATTTTTTTTTTAAAAGTTTGAGCTTATCTCATAAGTTTTTTTAAGTAGTTTTTCAAACAAGTTAGTTGGATTTTTTTATTTCAGCTAGCTTATTAGTTAATTTCACCAAACAAATTTACCATACAAGCTAGTTTTTCAGTTATAAGTCATAAGCTATAAGATATAAGCTCGAAAATTAAGGTGTATTTTCTATATTACATTTTCTTCATTTTCTATATTTATGCGTGTTTATTGCAATATCTCAAAATAGAAAATATATGATAAACTAATACATTTTTTCACAGGTACTAGTCTTAATCTCATTTCGTTTGCATGGGGGATGACTTTTCATACACGATATTTAATGGGAGATGATGTATTACATTTAACATATAACAGCTCACAACATTTCCGCAAATCAAATTTGGCCGAGCGATTGAAAATGCTAAAAATCTTGTTTGATAAAAAGCAAATATATTAATAAATAAAGACAAATTATATAAATCATCCTTACCTAATAATATAAATAAAGACAAAACAAAATAATGAAGCAAATCAAAGGAGTGATTTAGGCTTTGTTTGGTAAAACTAGCTGATAAGCTAGCTGATAAGCTAGCTTATAGCTTATCAGTAATTTTTGAGCTTGTAGCTTATGACTTATAGCTGAAAAACTAGCTTATATAATAAAAATGTTTGGTAAAATTAGCTGATAAGCTAGTTGAAATAAAAAAATTCAACTAGCTTATTTGAAAAGCTACCTAAACAAGCTTATCAAATAAGCTCGAGCTTTTTAAATAAGCTCGTCCTACCAAACAGAGCTTATTTAAATACAGAGAGCTTATAAACTAATCAAATAAGCTATAAGCTAGCTTATTGGTTTACCAAACATAGCCTTATAACTAAACATACACATACCTCTTGCAACAGAATAACACTAAAAAAAAGTTGTTAATTCGACAACACCAAACAAGATTGTGTTATTTTGTGTTACTCGCGTGAATTTTTGTTGTGTCTCGAGCTTTTGAATGGCCTAAAAGTTTTACCGATCGCCCACTGGCGCTCCGGCTGCTAGCGGAATTATGGGGATCTGTCAGGCAAGTTACAATGCTGAAGTTTAGAAATTATTTTAGAAAGATTGTATTTATTATCAATCTTAATAGACTGTTGATAAATTAATTTAACGTATTTCTACACATTTTTTATAAAATGTTTGAAACAGTTTTCACTAGATTAAATTTATCATTTGATATGCATAATATATATAAGTTTCTATAATATTTTTTATTGATAAAAAATTGATATATATATATATATATATATATATATTACAAGATAGTATGTTTAAACTAGTAATAATCGAATAGATATCATAATAGTTGGTGATTGGATTAATTTTATTATTTTTTTAATTATTGTATCAAATATTAATTAAAATTAAAAAAAAAATTGAGATAGTATTTTAAAAATAGATACCCAGTTATAGAATTGGGGAGCAATAGTCTTCCACGGTATGCAAGAGACAAGGTTATCGTATGGAACTCATCCAAGAAATGTTGAATTGATGGATTAATGAGCGAAATCATTCGTGGTTGCAAGTGCATAGGAAGAATGTGTCTGAAATGATGGTAAGATTAATTGTATTGTGCGTGTCTAAATTAATGATTGTAATATGACTGGAACATGGCAGTCTATTAATAATATGAAATGTAATAGTCTATGAGTGAGATAATAGTGTGTCTAAATGATTGTAATAGCTGAGACTGGAACATGGTAGTCTATTAATAACATGAAATGTAATGGTCCATGAATAATGAGATAATAGTGTGTCTAAATGATTGTAATAGCTGAGACTGGAACATGGTAGTCTATTAATAACATGAAATGTAATGGTCTATGAATGAGATAATAGTGTCCGTAATAACAGTTATTAAAATATCTCCAGCAATAAACCCCCTCAAGGCTCAAACCTTTTCTTTTTATTTTTATCACCCCAAAATCTTAATCTTAATCCTACATCACAAATACCTATCATAAGACTGGTGGTTGGATTAATTGTTTTTTTTTAATTATTATACCAATTAGTAATTAAAATAAATCTTATTCCTACATCACACATACGTATCACAATAGTTGGAGGTTAGATTAATTGTTTTTTTTAATTGTTTTACCAATTATTAATTAAAATTAAAAAACTTTGAGATTGTAATTTTAAAAATAGAAACGCAATTTAAACCACAGGCCCGAATGTAGGTATGGGCCGGTTCATAGGCCCAGCGAGTCCAGGCTGAGGCCGGTTCAGTGAACTGACAGTTTGAGACCAGCCAGTTCACAGGAAAAAAAAAAATAAAAAATTTTGTGTCTCTAGGGCCAGTTCCGGCACAAGAGGTCCGGAACCGGCCAGGTCAAACTACGGGCTTGGTCCGGGCCCATTTGACATGAGTAATAACATACGAGTAAAAATATACATTTCTATTTTGATTTTGAATGCAGTCATGTAATGAGTTTCCTATTCCACATCAAGATAAAAAAAATAAAAATAATCTGTAGGTTGAAACAACACATCAAATGACTTTCAGGAAAGTTAAAACACAACTTCACTGCTAAGTAATTATTGAAATCGATCGAGACCACAGACTCTGGAACGGTTAAAACGAATAGTAGTACAATATAACCATGAAAAATAGAACAAATTAATAGAATGCTCTCTATTCAACTAAACATGTTCTATCAATCTCGTTTTTCTCTAGAATTACGAACGAACAGTTCGTTCTCTTTTTTCTTTTTTTTTTTTTTTTTGCTATAGAAGCCATTTATGACAAACTGAACTTACAGGTTTTCCAAGTCTACAACAAGTTCACGGACAACCAAAAGAATGTTCCTCCTAAACTTCTAATTTGCCGTATAATTATCCTGCAATCACGAAGAGAAAAGAAAAGACGAGAACATATTACGAAGATAGTAAAGCTGAGATTAAGATAACATGCTTCAACAATGTTGTAAGATGAAGTCTTTTAATGTCCTTATATTATAGCTGAACTCCTCTAATCACAGAACTAGTGAATCAAGAATCTGTCCATGAAAATGCCCCTTAATTTATCATTTTACTCCATTCTACAATCCCTTTTCATATATCCTGATCAAAATCCCAAGATACAGTGAAAAATTGAATCCTTAGCCAAATTTGATCTTTCGATGTCGAAGATATCAAATAGCTGAAAAAAATCTAAGCATTCCTAAAAAATTATCATCTTCGACCGATAGATACTCGACTTTATTTCCGTATTTCAACAGAAAGACACTACCCTTTCTACCAATTGGATCAAATTTCATTCACATTGTGTCCATAGTTCACAATGACATATTTCACAAGCATTGTCCCAAATTACTATACTATTATCCCGATACATTTTATCTGTTTTTCCAGTTACGCCTAATCTTGTCTTGTATCAGACAATTTCTAAACTTAATAACAGAAACCCACAATTGAACAAAATCAAGAATTTGAAAAAAAAAAAAAACTACCTCAAATGGAGCATATGATCATTTATTCAATGGCTTCTGCAGAAGTGCAGTCAGATAAACTTCCCCATTCTTAATCCCACTTGGATCATTCTTATCGGCCACGGCCCATTTCACCTTCTTGTAGCCCAACTTCCCTATCATCGGCCCATAGACCGTCTCAAGATCCAATTTTTTACTGAAGAATCGATCCAGCAGAAGATAGCCGCCGGCCCTCAGAACCCGATCTGCATCGAAGAGCAGGAACTCCAAGGACGTGGCCGGGATCCACCGGTTCACGGCGCGCCCGCACCTCACCAGATCCAGGACCCCGTCGAACACCGGAAGCCTCTGCTGCAGGGGCGCGTGCAGGGGAATCAGCCCCCTGGCGGCCACCGCCTCGCTGTACGGCGCGCCGAGGCTCATGGTGGTGGTCAGCACGGTGACGTTCCGCAGCTTCATCTGTGCGGCGAAGGTGCCCGTCCCGCCGCCGACGTCCGCCGCGAGACGGATGGCGACGCCCGCCGACGCCGCGATCTGCAGGAGCTGCGGGATCGGGAGGTCAAGTTCAGATCTGTAGGTCACGAACTTGGACCTCTCGACCCTCATGTCGAAGCCCATGTCGGGATTCGAGCCCGCGGCGAGGCAGGAGAAAGTCCGGCAGGCGTAGCGGGTCAGGAGGAACGGCGTCCGGTCGGGGAGGGGGGAGAACGGGTCCGCCGGGAGTGGCGGCTGCGGCTGGGAGGGGGGTGTCCTCGAGAAGCAGCGGCGGCGGGGGAGGGGGTGGCAGCCACGGAGGATGAGGTCCTCGGCGAGGCCGGCGTCGGCGGGGCAGAGGGAGAAGGGAGTGTAATTCATATAGCGGTGGAGGAGGGCGGGGTTGTCCCTGCAGGAGGAGGCGATGGGTGCGATGTTGGTGTAGATGAGGAGATCGGAGGGCGCGGCGGCGGAGGCGGAGGATGGGGTTTGCTTGGCGACGGAGGGGTGAAGGGAGGTGAGGTGGTTGATGGTGGCGCGGATGGTGGTGAGCTGGTGGATGAGGTGGTCGGGGACGGGTGGGGGAGTGGGGGGCTTGGACTGAATGTTGGAAGAGAGATGGTAGAGAGATAAAATGTTGGTGGCGACCATGGCCAAGAGGAGGAGAAGGTTCAGGCCCATGGTGAAGCCCATTTCCTTTTTGCCGTTTGCCCCCTTTTTCTTGATCTGCTGCAATTGCTTTTGGAGCTCAATGAGGATGTGTGTGTGTGTGTGTGTGTGTGTGTGTGTGTGTGTTTCAATCACTTGTCACTCTCGATGAGAGTGAGAATTGAAAGAGATGCAAAGGACTCTATCGGTGATTTCTGTAGCAAAATTATTGAGATGCCTGCAACTTTTATTTATTTATTTATTTATTTATTTATTTATTTATTTTTTTTTTGTTGTGGTAGGGAAGATATTATTATTATTATTATTATTATTGGGTTGGCCTATGTGTGAGTACAGTTAATTTTGTTTTATTTATTTATTTATTTATTTAGGGTTTTATTTTAATTACTTTACAAGCTGGGTTTGAGTAAAGATTGACTGCGGGAGGGTGTACAAATTAATCTATGGTGCGGGAATCTCGATTTAAAAGTTGAGACTTGTTTATTATTTAAATAAAGTGAAGGTCACGCTTATTGAAATTGAGTTGAGACCTTTGGGACTTAGATGAAATTCTTAGTCAAAGTAAAAAGATGGATTGAGTGAGATGGGTAATTGTATCAGTAATGCTAATGAGTCCACTGTTGGCTTCGTTATAGAGTCAACAATTAATGGGACAGCTTTTTATGGGGTTGTCCCACATTGGAGTCATGTGGAACAATCTCACATGAACTTGTCTTATTGGTTGTTGGCTACGTAACGGAGCCAACAGTTAGCTCCTTAGCATTATTGGTAAGTCTATATCGAACAATTTTCGTTGAATTTAAATAAGGCTCCTAAACAATATTCCTAACTTGTCCAACAAGACAAGATCTCTAATATTTAATTCCTAACTTATTCTCCAAGATAATAATAACAATAATAATAATACTAATTAAACTATTACACTATCCTCATCACCGTTAGATGCACATTTATGTTAATTATCATGTGCACCTAGCGGTTACAAATCTCAACAGAATAATTCCGTAACGAAATTGTAGTATTTTCCTAAGTGAAGGTTCTAGTAGGAGTCTGGTCTTGAGGTAATATTTGTGCTTTCATTAGATCATTATGTAACGGGAATAATTGATTTAACAGTTACAAACCCCGACGAAATACTTTCGTAACGGGACTACATCTCCCATATTATATTACATGAAGTCATTTGAATGCTTGTATTATTATTTTTATTATTTTGAATATTACAAGAAATCCAATCATTATAGTTTGTTTTATTACTTTTTCATAGGGCTAAGCATGGATCGGTACGGTTCGGACATCGACAAATCTCCAGAACCGTACCAAAATTCGTTGATCGCTAAATTCGATCTCCAGAACCGTACCAATCAATCGGGACGGTTCGGTTCGGAGATTTTCATTATTCGGTTTGGTTCGGTTCGGTATTCGGGACTATCGGAACAGTTCGGTTCGATTTGGTTCAGTTCGGTATTTGGGACTATCTAGTTATATTTTAATTTTTATATGATTTAGAAAAAAAAAATCCAACATTCATAAACACTTCATCACATTAAATAGTTTAAATATTAAAAATAAAAAATAAATTGTAGATCAAGTGTTACCAAGTACTAAGACACACATTATCCAAGAGTTCACATCCCATAATTTTAAATACAAGTCCCATAATTCACAAACCATAATTCCATCATCAAGTAAAAGTTCAAAATGACAAAAAATAAGTGTAGGATTTCATACAAGTCCGAACAAGTTATCACACGAAAAACAATAATGCGAACTTTCATATTCTTCCATATAAACTCCAACTCCATTCCCAATGCATGTCCATATTCCATAAGCCCTTCGAAAGCAATCTGATAGAAAATAAATGTTGGGTATAAAATTTACAGCAACATATACAATTATACACATGAAACATGCGACAACTTACTGTGAAGGAAATGAACTGAAAGCTGCTAGGCACTTTTGGTGTCCCAGCCACAAGTTAGATGTGAAGGCATGTAAGTGCAAACAAATGTGGCACACACCACACCACAATCACAGCATATATGGACCAAGAAGGAAATAAACAGAAGTAATAGTTGACAAAACGTACAAACGAATCATAATTACATTATATAAAAAAAGCCTACAACATAATAATATTTGCCTTAAAGATCATTATTCATTAATATCAGTACAAGTCCCCTTTATAATAAAAATTTGCCTCTACACTATAAGAAAAAATTGCATCTACAACAACATTATAAACTTACCAGACCCTTTTATTTTATACCTTTGTTGAAGATTCACTACAAGAAAACAAGTCAACAATCCAAATTTGTCCGTGGAAGTAAGCTCTCTTTAATGTCAGGATCATTAATTGCCTCTGTAGAAAAAGTCAATCTCATTATCACAAGAAAATAAAAAAAAAATGTATATTTAAATAAAACTATAAGAATCTGAAGCAAGTAGAATTACATACCCATCTCCAGGATTTCAAGATCTTCTATGATTTCTTCGACTCCGTTTGGTGTCTTGGTATTTCGTAACCAATCTTGGCAGCATATAAGCACCTCAGCTGTAGTAGGAGTTAAAGAACTCCTAAAACGATCCAAAGTTCTACCACCGGTGCTAAACGCAGATTCAGAAGCAACGGTCGACGATTGAATGGCCAAAACATCTCTAGCGACACAACTTAAGTTTGGATACCTCACTGAATTAACTTTCCACCATGCCAAAATGTCAAAATCAACCCGGTATTTTTCCGATAATTCTTCCAGGTACCTCTCCAGTTCATCTTTACTAGATGCCCTTTGTTGATTCTCTTCTTCCAAAAAAAAAAAATCATCAACATCATCCATGTTAACATCTTCACCAACCTCTTTCTCAAACTCAATTGCTTTTTCTTTCCCTTCACCTCTTCCAGTTTCATTTAAGACCCTATAATCCTCAATCAAAATTCTCAAAGCTTTGATCACCTTATCCACCAATTCATCAGCTTATTTTTCATTATAATGGATTGCATACTTGACCCTCAAATATTTAATTTTGTATCTAGGATCAAATACCACGGCAATCAAAAGCATCAAGTTTATTTTGTTAATTGACCCCCAATATTTATCAAATTTATCCCTCATTTGTTTCCCCATTTCCTTCAAACATGTGTCATTACTCTTCTCAAAGTTTTCAATTTCCTTCAGGGTACGAACAATTTCAGGAACATACATGTTCGATGTAGCATACAACGTTCCAGACAACTTACAAGTAACATCATAAAAGCGTTTCAAAAATTTAGTAAAATGGGCAACATAGTTCCAGTCATTCTCACAAGGCATTTGATCGCCGAACTCGTTCAAAAATTTCGTATCCAAATCTTCCAACTTATCAAATGCCTTTTGAAATACCAAAGCAATTTCAAGCATCAAGCAAGTTGAATTCCACCTTGTAGCACAATCTAATATCAAAGAAGCCTTACTTTTTACTTTTGCAAGTTCACAACATTTTCTAAACAAATCTAATCTTTGTGGGCTTGCCCTAACATATCGAACAACATTTCGAATCTTTTTCACGGAATCACAAGCAATATTCAGGCCATCTCTCACTATCAATTGCAAAATGTGAGCAAAACACCTCATATGAAAGGCTTCTCCATCCAAAACAAAAGCTTTTTTTTTTCAGCAACTTCTTTTTCAATTGTTGAATAGCTGTATCATTTGAAGATGCATTGTCCACCGTAATGCACATAACTTTACTTAAGCCCCATTCATCCATGCAAAAGTCAATTACATTTCCAATATTTACCCCTTTATGACTTTTAACAACACAAAAATTTAAAATTCTTTTTTGCATTACCCAATCAGAATCAATGAAGTGGGCTGTCAAACACAAATAATTGACATTTTGGATACTCGTCCAAGTATCTGTTGTCAAGGACACCCTTTGACACTGAGACTGGAGAACAAGTTTTAGTTTTTGCTTTTCCTTAACAAATAAAGAGAGGCAATCCCTAGCAATGGTAAACCTTGAAGGAATAACAAACCAAGGACAGGCAATCTCAACAAATTTCTTAAAACCTTCTCCCTCGACAAACCTAAAAGGTTGTTCATCACGTATTATCATCCTAACAAGAGACTCCCTCACAGCTTCTTGTTCAAATTTCCAACAAGACAGTTTACCATTCTCATCCCCAGAGTTAGTCACACTTTGAAAATTCAGAACTTTTTGGCTTTTATCTTTACCCTTATGTGCTTCAACTAAATCCTTTTTAATTGGACATTGTCTACATGTTTCTCTTAAATGCTTCCACAACCCCGAAGTGCCAGCCTCACTCTTACAACCATAAGTCTTATCGCACCATCTACATTTAGCCCTCCCTGTCTCAATGTCATTAGCGTCTTTTAGTCGTTTAAAATGATGCCACACTTCAGACCTACCCTTTTTAGCATCAGGTGAGATAGAGGTACCTTCAGCCGGAACTTTATTCGAATCAACTGTTCGTGTGGGACTTTGAGCACTTGACGTTGGCGGCATATGATTATTGGTAGAACCAGTTGTACTTGCTTTTCTCTTACCCGAAACTACAAAATATTCAAGTAAATAATATTAAAACAAAAAAAAAAAATAGTAAATGAACCAACTAAAATGAGCTCAAAATTTTAATATTTACCACTTCTAGTTGAGGATGAATCAACCTCATTATGAATTTTAGGATCCATTACATCAATCTGCAAACATATGAGAAAATAAATTAGAACTTGAAGTCTTGAATCATGATTATTAAAAAACATAGGACTTTCAACATTGAAAAAAA